AGTGAAGTTAATCTGCCCTTTGGGTAAAGCTTGTTTGAAGGATTATTAAACTGAGATTTGTCAACTATAAAATATATCCTTCACACAGTCTAGATCCATCTGTTGTTAATCTTATTTTTAAGGTTGCAATTCTAGAAAAATTAGTGGAGCTGACACAGAAGCTGTTTGAATGTGATAGAGACCAGCTGTACTACAGTCTGCTAAAATTATATAGTAAGTAATCTAACTATTCCTCATGTTTTCATCTTGAGACATTTATTCTATTGAAGGCAGGTACAAGAAAGGAATATCAGAAAGGTCTAGATGATTGTCAAGTGTGTGGTCTTCAACAGAGACTAATTTTAGAGGCCAGATTGAATTTTATCACAGAATGTTATATTGTATCACTAGACACTGTACAATTTTCATAATTTCTGACAGTCTTAACTGCAGTAATGAGAAGGTGAGAAAAATCTTCATCAGGACCACAGAATTTAATAGGACTTTTTGAGGTTAGACCAATTTTTTTCTTTTTATTAAGTCCTCCAGTAGACTTACCAGTCACTTCTATAAATCACATAATCACTAATATGTTCATGTGTATAAGATCTTTTTCCAGGGGCGCCTGGGTGGCTCAGTCATTAAGTTCTGCCTTCGGCTCCGGTCATGATCCTGGATCTTGGGATCGAGCCCCGCATTGGGCTCCTTGCTTGGTGGGGAGTCGACTTCTTCCCCCTCCCTCTGCCGCTGCCCCTGCTCTTGTTCCCTCTCTTGCTGTCTCTCTGTCAAATAAATAAATAAAATCTTTAAAAAAAAAAAAAGATCTTTTTCCAGAAAAATGCATACTGATACACAGACTCATCACTAAACAATTTTTTAAATGTGATTATATTCTAATACAGTTTTGACCAAATCTATAGTATAAACATTTTCTTATATTTTATTACCTACAAATGACTACATTGAATGGCTATATAATGAGTATATTCCAAATTACTAAAGATTCAAGCAATACAGTAGTGTACAGAATCAAAAGTGGAAATGTCATTTCGTCCACCCCTCAGAAGTAACTTGTCAATTGGCCATCCTTCCAGTGTTTTCTCTCTATATTTCTATCCATTATACTTTTTATGTATATACCTATTATTTTGATTGTTTTATACGCTACGTGTTTCATACTCTGTATTATGTTTTATGGCTTCCTTTTATACTTAATATGAAATAAATTCACAGGGAGAGGTCAATGCCTTTTCTCTTTAATACCGAGTTTAAGTGCTGGTGCCTTTGGAACCTCCAAAGTTGACCCATTAATTTTTAATTTGTGAGTTCATGAATTTCTTAAAAATATATTTGTGTTTCAGGTTATTGCAATCATTATCCTTTTGGGTGCTCAGATTGTACCATCTTTGACCAGTTGGCTCCTATGTCATTTGACACACCTCTCTAGTCTTTGATTGTTTTCAGGCAGAACAAGACAATCCAGGCTTGTGTAGCATCTCTATCCCAGACTTGGATTCCTTATTCCTTCCAAGTCTATCCCAGACTTGGAAGCTTATTTAGAGACCATAATCAGACCATAATTTGGAAATGGCCCCATCTCATTAATAATATGTAAAAACTTAGTTTTACAATTAAAACCCTGAACTAGAAGTTTTCATGTCTTAGTTCAGTACCACAGAGACTGTGCGCACAGTGCCAACTGTTACTATTACTGGTCATATAGCCATAAATTACAGCCCCACTACTGTGTGTATTCTTACAGTAGTGTCCAAAGTTGTTGGGTTGAATAGCTTAACCAGTTCTGAGAGATTATTTAGTAGTTAGCCCCCTTGTTCTTTTTTTTTTTTTTTTTTAAGATTTTATTTATTTATTTGTCAGAGAGAGAGCACAAGCAGGGAGAGTGGCAGGCAGAGGGAGAAGCAGGCTCCCCGCTGGGTAAGGAGTCCGATGCAGGACTTGATCCCAGGACCCTGGGATCATGACCTGAGCCAAAGGCAGACACTTAACGACTGAGCCACCTAGTCGCCCCCCCTGCCCCGCCTTGTTTTTTAAAGAGGGGGAACCATGAGTGCCAGGAATGTGATGATGGGATTGTAGAGGCAGAGTGTCCAGTCCTTGGTCACAGCCTAGATTTATGGCTGTTTGATTCTTCAGGTAGCAAGTATGATCGTTGTTATCCTGGTAGGAGGGATTTTAGGCCCCAGACGGCTATTACGTCAGAAAGGCATGATCTTTCTTTGCCTTTTGTAAGGATTTACACACAGGTGCAGATGTTGGCACACCGACTAGTTTGATTGTCTCAAATTTTTGTTACATATTTTGTGATCCAGACATATTTCCAAGAAGTTTTTTCCCTTTAAGCAAAAAAAAAAGTGTGTGTTTTATGTCTGTCTGTCTTGTGTGTGTGTGTGTGTGTGTGTGTGTGTGTGTGTGTAAATATAAATGAGTTGTTTCATGTTATATATGCTATCTAATTTTCATGTATTTTGAAATACTTTTTTTTTTTAATTTGAGAGCGAGAAAGAGCATGAGCTGGGGGAGAGGCAAATGGAGAGGGAGAGGCAGACTCCCTGCTGAGACGGGAGCCTGATGGGGGCCTCAATCCCAGGACCCTGGGATCATGACCTGAGCCAAAGGCAGATGCTTAACCAACTGAGCCACCCAGGCACCCTGAAATATTTTCTTGTAAAAGTTCCTAGTCCATTTTAATTAAAGGTGCATCTCTGTAATACCTTTTGTCCTCCCAAAGTAGAAGCTTTCATATACTCGTGCCTTTTTTAGAAGAAGAAAAAATTACTTTCCTAGAGTTCCTGCAGTTGAAGACAGAGTTATACATCCTCCACCCACCTTCTCTTCAGTGTTCATGTTTTCTTAAAAATGAATCTCTTTAGGGCGCCTGAGTGGCTCAGTTGGTTGGGCGACTGCCTTCAGCTCAGGTCATGATTCTGGAGTCCCTGGATCGAGTCCCGCATCGGGCTCCCTGCTCGGCAGGGAGTCTGCTTCGCCCTCTGACCCTATCCCCTCTCGTGTGTTCTCTCTCATTCTCTCTCTCTCAAATAAATAAATAAAATTTTAAAAAAATAAAAAATAAATCTCTTTAAAAACCACCTTAGCAGTGCTGTTTCCAGTTTTTGGATACCTTCCCTAACTATGTCTTCCGTAGTCCACAGGTGTACCCTCTGGCAGGGGACAGAATGTTCCACCTTTTCTCTTCTATAGAATTAAAGATGCTGGAGCTTGGGGTTTTGTTTTTCATTTATTTAATCTAGTTAGTTTTTATATATTCATATACTTGAAAAGTTACTCTTAAATTTTACATCACATGAGAACATTTTAATGTAGGAAAAGCATAATTAGCTTATCAGAGTCTTGTTTTGAAAATAGATTGTAAATTTAAGGGTTTTAAAGTGACTGGTTTTATTATCAAAGTATGTACAAAATCATTGCAATCTGTGTATGACCAGGGGAAATTTTCTTACTATTACTGTTTTCTTTGTTGTAGGTTTCTGATGGAGCATGAATGTATTTTGTTTTTGTTCTTTGAGTTTTTTACTTCCAGGAGTCATCAGTTATCAAAACGTAGCTTTTCAGTTGGACAGGTGTGGGAGAATCTAGGAAAATCCTGTCTCTTTTAGTATTGTTGTATTTTTGAGAAATATATTTACCTATGTTTTCTGGAACATTTGTGCTCTGAAACAGCCCCCTTCCTAGAGCTGACTATACACAATGAAGATACTTTTTATTCATATATGAAAATTTTAAAAAACACAGTTAAAACAGTATTTCTTTGTGCTTAATTTGTTGTATTGAACTTAATTAGTGTCATGATATTTTTCATATTTTGGTCTAGTTTTTCACAAGCAAAAGTTTATTATATTAAATGACATGACCTGTTCTCTTTTCAAAACCTATTAGAATGTTTAAAAATAAAGTCTTGATTATTAAGTTTTTGCTATTTGTGAAGATTAGGTTACCACATAAGAGGAACTCATTATCCAATGTGAAGGAATCTGCCTGTTTCCTTCCAATAAACTTCCCTTGCCCCAAAATACTTATTTAGTCTGACGGCATTATTTGCTGGGATAAAAAAATCTATCACACAGTGTCATAGACATCCTTCAAGTCAGCAGAAGAGACAGAATTCTCCCTATCCACTAAGTGAAAAGGATTTGTTGATTTGACACTTTTGAAGAAAATCATATATTTGTGCACTTTCAATCACTTTAGACCTCCAGCTGTGTATTAACTATATACATGTACACATCATCTTTCCAAAGTCTCACGGGCATAGTTTTGAATTGTTACCTATTTCTGATTCTGATTTCAGCAATGGGCAACTTCTCGGTAACTTTAAAAAGACAGATTTTTTATTAATATGATTTTCAAAGTGTGTAGTAAAGTGGGGTGGGGGTTGTTGTTTTTTAATAGGTAAGGAATTCCCATTGTTGAAAACTCAAAAGGCATACAGAAAGAAGTCTTTAAGCCTTTGGTCCACAATCATCCTGTTCTTTTCCCTGGAAGCAATATTTGGAATAATGCTTTACTTCAACATAAGATAGGAAAAAATTCTAAACATTTTTATGAATTCGACATAGTATGTTCATTAATTTCTGCTTAATCAAATTTTACAGAAATAAATGGTGACTGGCAAAGAGCTGATGCTGTGTGGAATAAAATGCAAGAAGAAAATATTATTCCTCGTGCAAAGACATTAAGATTATTAGCAGAAATCCTTAGAAACAGTAATCAGGAGGTTCCTTTTGACGTACCTGAGGTAATTTGTTTTTAACTGTAAGCATAACAGGTTTTGTTTTTGGTATAACTGAAGGGCATAATTAGCCCAGTTTTATACTAAAAAGATCACTCTATATACAAGGTTTTGTATACTTTTGTCTTTCAGTTGTGGTATGAGGGTGAAAAGCACTCCCTGAATTCTTCATCACCCTCACGTGCAGAAAGTAATATCCAGAATGATCTGTTGAATGCCTGCCAACGGAAGAAAAGCAAAGGTAAATCTATATGCTGGGGTCTTCTAATAGCAACATGGGATCTAAGCCCATTTAACAAATTAGTAGTGCTCTAGGACAGAGATGGAACTTAAATATCTTAATTATTTTCTTTTGTTTTTTAAATTAACAAAGACATTTTGGGGTAGTTGGGAAAACATAGTATCAACCGAGTAGTAGATAATATTAAGGAATTATCTCATTTTTTTTAAGTTTATTTATTTTATTCTGTTTTTTTAGTAATCTCTCCACCCAACATGGTGCTTGAGGTCAGGAGTCTCATGCTGTTCTGACTCAGCCAGCCAGGCGCCCCTATCTCATTTTTATAGATATGATAGTGGTGTTAAGATTTATGGGACGGTGTCCTTAAATTTTGAGATCTTAATGAAGTACTGAGAGATGAAAAAAAAAATCAAGATATCTATAATATATTTTAAAATACCTAAGCCATAAGGAGCAAAGATAAACAAATCTGGTAAAACGGTAGTAATTGTTAGATATAGGTGATGGGCATATGGAAGGTCCATTACACTGTTCTTTATATTTTTCTTTTCTTTCTTTTTTTTAAAGATTTTATTTATGCATTTGACAGAGAGACACACAGCAAGAGAGGGAACACAAGCGGGGAGTGGGAGAGGGAGAAGCAGGCTTCCCGCGGAGCAGGGAGCAGCCCGATGTGGGGCTCAATCATGACCTGAGCCGAAGGCAGATGCTTAACTGACTGAACCACCCAGGCGCCCCTATTCTTTATTTTTTTCTGTACGTTTGAAATCTTTTATAATAAAAACTAAAATAGGCATACATTTTATCAAAAATTATACTTTGAAAATAGCATGATCATGAATGTTTTTTGGCAAATATATTTATTATAGATTTCACATTTATTTGAAAGCAGAAAATGATTAGGGCATTAAGCACTATACTCACGTATGTTGAAGTAATCAAGCACTATTTCAAGGATGGAGGCAGGACATGAGGTCTGTGTCTTGCTCTTCCTTTACTCTCGTGGTAAACTTTCCTGAAGTGGAATGCCTATCACTACTATGACTACTTTACTATTTTTTTTTTTTTTTTAAAGATTTTATTTATTTTTGACAGAGAGATAGAGAGCACAAGTAGGCAGAGAGGCAGGCAGAGGGAGAGGGAGAAGCAGGC